CTTGTTACTACTGGTGGGTGGTTGGCGAGTGCTCTTGTATGGTCAGCTCCTTCTTTCCTATCAAACCTTTGTCAACCTTAATCCTTTTCTCTCCTTTTCTTTTTTTTGTGTTTGTTACACTTTTGTATCATCTCTAATCAACGGCACTTATATGGCCTGATTGGGCTGCAAGTGCCGTAAAACGCTTACTAAAAATAAAGAGTCACGACTGCAGGCATGGGCCAATGTGTCCAAATAGAGGGCTGAGTTATGCGATTCCAAATGTCTGGCAAGTGAAACTTGGAGAAAATATTGTGTTGCAAGTGCCGTAAAACGTAATAAACGAGTCACTACTGTAGGCATAGGCTGAGATATGCGATTCCGAATGTCTGGCAAGTGAAACTAGGAGACAATTTGAGTAAAATCGGTTGAAATACCTAAGCTCTCAAAACTGAGACTAAAACTGACAGTACAGCATAGTTTATGTCCCTCAAGGACATTTAATGTGATAAATCAATGTTGATGAACACAATATTATTGTTCCCAACTGGGCCGGAGACTATTCATTTTAACCCTATCCGTACGCCCTGGGGTCATTTTGTACTAGAATACTTCTAGTACGAAGGTCTCTTTGAAACTTGCCGTATTTTTCAAAAAAATCATTTTGACAGACTGTTATGGAAAGCGTACGGATCGGATTAACAAGTAAATATATTCCTCTTTGGAAAGTGGTGACACAGAGTTCCCCACGTCGTATGGATACGATGGTAAAACACGACGTACGGATAGGGTTAAATTTTCCAGATGGACAGTTTTGTTTTCATCAGTTTTCAGTTCAGGAAGAGGTAGGAAGCACAAATGATGGATTGAGGGAGTCAGAGGAACCTCTACTGAGGAACTCAACTGAAAGAGTTGAGGGAGTCAGAGGAACCTCTACTGAGAAACTCAACTGAAAGAGTTTCAGAGTTGGCCTACCACAGAAAACTGCATCTCCCCTTGACGCCCCTTGAGGCTTAACGGAAACAGAAATATGAAAAAATGAGTAAGTTTATTTCAGTGTTTAAAGCCCGCTTCACATCACAAGATTATAGAAAGTAAAAGTAAAGTTATTAATTCAACTTGAACCACATTCTTTATTAGATCTACTAATTTCTGGGTCGACTCGCGCGCCAAACTGAAACTATCAGCGTGTTTGATTTGGCCCGTGGGCCGCAGATTCAGCTCATTGCCCGTGTGTGTTAATGATGAAATGGTATAGGTTTAACACCCCTTTCAACACCATTAGGCTATTAAAGAGGCAGGTCCATGTATGTGTGCACTGGTAAATAAATGGAGGGTTGCACTGATGAACTCATCAGTGGTTGTCTGGTCTGTCTAAACATGGGACATCCCCGGCTCGTCGTAGCTGGCTGTTCTCACGTACTATCATCCAGCTGGCCTGCACGTACTGTAAAACTTCCAGGAGTTGGGGACTTTAGAGTGACGGTGATGAACCTGACGACTTGTCACGCGCGAATTTCGGTCAGGCGATGAACAATTTTTATATATTTTATATGCAATTATCTGTTTCTGTCTCTGTCTCTGCTTCTCTCTCTGTCTCTGTCTCTGTCTCTGTCTCTGTCTGTCTCGCTCTCTCTCTCTCTCTCT